GCCGAAACGTCAGCAATTGTGTTCTAATAAATTCTATATTAACAACCTCGTGTCTGCTTATTGATGAAAAACATTGGATCTTCGAACGATTCATGTGTTGTTTCAATTGCTGCATGAGAATTTCGTCTTCATTATGAAAGTCGAACAATGGTGGTCGAGTCGATTTTCCTTGCAATGTCGGAGACCACCGGGTAAAGACGTTCCTACTTCGATTAGAGAAGATTAGTGCAAGGGTCAAACTAGCACCTTTTCCTTCCTCATTGACAGCATCACTAACCACTGAGGTGTCTCCTCAAGACTATATCTTACCTTCTTTCTATTACCTTTACCGGCTCTCAAGAATCAACTACGATTGAAAATGTTTAACGATCGGCGCCAAGTCAAGAACAAAAATTTGAAGTAATTCACCTCATTGCTACCTACGTTCCGCATGACACGTATTCAAAAGCTTTTCGCAGCGTTGGAGAATTATGACAAATAGAAGTGGTGAATGTACTGCAGACAGACCGACATACTGGATCAATAACTGCATTAAATTACACAAAAAATTGTTGAAAACTTTTCCACAAACGAAACTGATCCAAAAGGATGTTCGTTACAAAAATGACAAGGCTAGTAACAACATTCATTCGCGTACAAACAGCATTTAAAGTAGTATCAACCCATACTCAGCTGCCTTTACATGAATTCTTGAAATCTTAGATACATCCGTTATAGATATTTCACAGAATCTCAAATGACATTCCCATACATCTCAATCACTAATCGATAGAATCTTAAGCAACATTCCCATAATATAACTTCTATAATGCTGAGATATTTGCATAACTCTGAGAGACAGGCGAAACGAAGGACCCGCATGGTGTGGTGGTGAACGCGTTACTCCTCGGAAAGGACAATAGCGCGTTCGTTCCCCACCGCAGACACCTGCGGTCCGGAGTTTTGTAAATATCTCAGCATTATAGAAATTATATTTCGCAACATACTCTGCCATTAAAAAGAATAGGCAGTAAATAAAAAGGTTAAGATTCCCATAATACTACTGATTCCCATACAGCCTACAATAACAAAAACCATGTATTTCTATGGGACCGATGAAGGACATGAACATTCATAGTCGTGTTTCCTACCTGATAACTTACCAGTGAACGACATGAAAAATGTTTTTCCTTTATCAAATCAGTTTTCTTCCGTATTTTCTTCCATTTAACTGCACATCATTTTCCTCGCTTATATATTGATATATATGTATGTATAGAGAGAGCGAATAGCACGGTGGTAAAGGTGCCAGTCATGACGAGCATGGTGCTAGTTCGATTCTGCTCTGGGCCAACAAAGCCTCATCCATCTGGAGTCAAGAAATTGGTACCGGACATGTCTGGGAAAAATAACTCTCTGCAGTCCAATTGGAAACGCTCCAACCCGGCTAACTCAGCACTCGAGGGAGACTTGCTCGACCAACATTCTACGAGATTTAAGATGAAATGAAAATCCTCAAACGGCAACCGAAACCACACGTAAAGTTGGAAGATCTTTGTGGACAATGGATGCGAGGAAACGAATCGAATGTGGTAGACGTGAAGACGGATCAAAATAAAAATACTTCATGTATGTAAATTCTCTTAGTGTAATAGCGTATCACACAAATTCTGCGAGTGCTTAGAAGCTGCAATAAATTGAGAGAACATGCAACAGCAGTTCTCAAATTTTGATCTTTCAAAAAACACTAATTTACTCCTTTCAGTCATTATGAGTGATAGTAGTCATACCAACGACACAAGCTTCGTGTTAACTGTTCATTTCCAAGTCTAGGAAAATAAGACCGTTTTTGTTTTTAATGAGAAAGAATAGTAGTTCACCAAACTGCCACTCAATAGTCTACAACAGTACGATGGGCATAATTCTACAAGCAATCAGCTCTCATTTGAAATTGCTCATGTGTTTTAAATTTAAAACTCACAGATTTGAAACATCAATCATCTTTACGGTCTCGTCCGGAACATCATAGGCCAACGAACGAAATCGAAGTATAAGCGATTGAAGCCGAGGTTGGCCGTCGAAGTGATGCGGAAATCGCTGAATCCAGTAAATCACAGCCAGACAGAGATGAGCTCGAGCGCGTAAGTCTTTCGTTTCCTGAAGATGTAGGTAAATATCTAACAATTTGGTATCATATGGTGTAATGCGCTGGAGCGATATTAATGAGACAAAAGTGGCTCTGTCCTTAGCTCCAATTCGAGCGGTGCTAATAAGACACTTCTAGGATAAGCGATAAATAAGAGACATAAATCGGTTGACTTCCACAAATTACTTGATGGATTTAATTCCATCAATAATTTTCTGATCATTACTCTAGGTGTACAGTGAAGTTCACAGCATCGTTTTCTCGTTCAGCAGTCGCGAGCTTGTTAAACAGCACACATTTACTTCCATAGAAAAACAGAATACAATACAAAAGTAGCTGACGTTTCGGCAGCATCACCTTCTTGGGAGCATGGAAGGGTATACTGATATACAATCTACTAGGCCATCAATCAGAGGACAGCCAACAAGTACGAGGCATCGAAATGGAACTACTTCGAGCTGCACTACGAAGCAAGCAGAACGAGATGTTTGCCAGAATGAAGAAGTGTGCGATGAAGGAACATTTTTGCGCTTTGTATTTGGACAAACGCCTATGGACGAGAATAGTTGGTGGGTCAATACTGATATGCGATTTTACTAGGTCTAATGCCAAAATAACCTTACAGCGAAAAATCGTAAATCTTTTGAGCAATTCACATGTCTCAGCTTCAAGAAACAACCGCAAACAAATTGCTTCTGATAATAGTCAAAATAGGATTGATAATTCACCATGAAAATCTAGGGTCACTAGGGCCACCGTGATTGGGGGCATAACAATACCTGAGAGTGTGCTTTCGCTATTAGAATAGGGCCCAAGCTTCACACCATCACAGCCCATTTCTAAAACGACGCTGCATGCAACCCTTATGAGCTTCAAAGATCAACTCCGCTATCAGGCCAAACAAGAAACATCAAATAGGGATGAAAGCCAAGAGCCGGCGACATTACCACCATCTCCCCTCGCTAGAACGTTTTTTAGACAGCAGGACCCTAACGAGAAAATTGATACGCATGTTTTCGGACGACGTTCTCAACACTCTTAATCACTATCGCAACAGAAGATTTATCTCTAACCTTGCAACCGCACAAAAATGTGGCATGCGAAAAACTAGAGAATTAATAAACTAGAAAACAACAAGATTGTCTGCTAGTGATAAGAGAAGAGAGTTCGTATTCCCCTCCAGCTGGATGTTGAGATAACAAAGGAACATCTTAGTGATGCTACCCTCTATCGCCCATCCTCTGAAAAGGAATATAAAAATCAATACCGAAAGCTAAACAATCAGTGGGTCAGTGTGGCAAAGGATACAGGTCTAAAATCGTCGGTTATTTCGCACTTTAAAGTCGATAGACCAACATACCCCGTCATATACCTACTTATTGAAACACATAAGTTGGTATCACCTGATGATCTCGTGTCAACAAATCCGTTATCATTTAAGGTTAGATCAACCATCAGCTGTGTAGACGGGCCGACGAATAGAATAACCTGGTTTTTAAGCCTAACACTTACCGAGTTGCTTAACCACATTCCAGCCCACCTCACGAACACCCAAATGTTCCTAGAAGTTTTACGTAACGCGCTTCTTAATAACGCGTACGTAATGGAGTCCTTCGACGTTACCGCGTTTTGCACCAACGTGTCAAGTAATTCCGCAATGCAAGCCATCTTCCAACTTCTTGTTGAACACAAAGAAAGAATAAATATGAATGGCATGTCCATCAAGCGGCTAATGGCTGTCTTGAAGGAGTGCCTAACCTGCTCGATTTTCAGAGACTATGGGAAATATTTCGCGCAAATAAGGGTGTGGGCAATGGGATAGCGACTGGCACTAAACCTTGCCGTTGTGTTTATGTCTAAGATAGAAGCGCCTGTTCTCGATTGTCGTCTTCTCTATGCAGGAGGAGATGGACAAATTCTTTGAATTATTGAACGAGCAGTTTGAGTACATTAAGTTCACCCGGGAGAAACCGAGAAAAACTAGCTTCTGTTTTTAAACGTTCAAATAGACCTATCAAGTAGCGCTTACATGACAAGGTGGCACCGAAAGCCAAGTAACAAAAATATCCTGGTTCATGTCCTTTCTTCCCACCCTTCACACACAAAGAGGGCGCTTCTGAGAAACATGTTTCGAACAGTCATCTCTGTGCACAACCAGGGTACTAAAGAAAGAATCGCGTGACTTGGCTCGGCAAATAGGCTACGAAGTAGTAACCCCACGAGATAAGTTTAGAAGGAGAGCGACGCGCCCACGCAAAATACATGGCCAAAAGAAAGTCCCTTTGCCTTTTATTAGCGATGAAGTAAGCGTGGCTATTAAACGATGCTTAAGAAGACCAGGTCTAGAGGAATCGGTAGCGATAGTTGAAATACCACCGGCTACTCTACGTCGCCAATTAGTTCGCAACCGCCTGTGTGACCGTCTGTGTGAAACAACAAATTGCGTAATTTGCCTTTACGGCAGGGACAGTGGTTGCATGAGTTCAGGTACGATATACCTGATCTCTAGTAATAATTGCGGAGATGAATATATTGGCGAAACGGGCAGACCTTTGTGTTTTCGTATAAAAGAACACCTAGATGGCAAACGAAAACTAAGACGAAGCACCCCACTAGGCACGCATAGGATACAAAAGCACAGCGGAGACGATTTTGAAGTAAAAGTCAATATCCTTGCACAGGAGTCCAAAACACCAGCGCGAAAACTCCTAGAGGCTTTTTGGATCAATGCCAAAAACCCTACAATGAATAGCAGGGACGAATGCCCGGAGGTCATACGCGACCTGATCCCGTACGTTCGCATCGATTTTTGATGTGGGATGGTGCAGTCGTCAACCACATGCGACTATAATCAGCTGTTCTAAAGTTCCTCATTGGAAGTCACGAAAAAGCGGTGGGTTTTTCGAGAAGTTGTTGATCATGTGATTGCCATAGAGTCTTTTCGTCCTTTTGTAAGTGTTATTGAAGTGTTTGGCCTAGTAGATTGTATATCAGTATACCCTTCCAGGCTCTGAAGAAGGCGATACTGCCGAAACGTCAGCTACTGTTGTATTGTACTTATCCAGAAAGCTCTCATAGTTTGCTACGAGCATTTTTTTCGAGACGCTAGTGACCTTAGCCAGCGTGTGTGTGTGTGTATGTGTGTATGTGTGTGATAAACGATAAATAGAGGAGTCTCTCACATCATTCTTGAATCTTTACACCTATTATATAACAATTAACAAACTCTAATGCTCTCGGAGTTGGTCAGTCCCTGAGAGATGCCCAATGACTTGGACTTCATTTAAGTATCGTTGGAGGTGATTGAATGCATATCTGCCAGATGGCATTTACAACGACTCGAAGTAGACTGCCGATGTATCATGTCAGTGCTGCTATCCTCCCAGACAAGTTTGGTACCAATTTGCTGACACCGGAGGGATGGAAGGCTTAGTGGGCCACGGACGCGGGGATCGATTCCTCGTGTGTCTTGCAAGGCTCCTCCAACCGCTGTGCCACAAGCACCCTTATATTAGTATCAGCTTGTGTCTATATAACAATATAGCTGGAAAATCTTAATAAATTATACGAAGAAGACGCAGTGCGATAGATGATGAAAAGTTAACGGATAAGATGAGATTGAAAAGTGGTGAAAGTTTATTTTAAAAAAAGATTTAAAGTTTATATTAGAACCTTGTGGAAGCTCAATAACCGAAGAAAATAGAGGATGGCAACGTGAGAAAACAGAAGGAATCCAGCAGAACGAAAAAATTTAAGCTAACCTGAAGACATGCGATGAACTGCGCGAGAAGCTGTGTGCTGTCCACCAACCACTGATGAGCAACAAAAAGGCTGAAGAGAAACTCATCATTGACAACGTCGCCGTCTTCATCTAAAATACTGAGTGAAAATGAAGCATTCTTTGGGAAACATCTGAGATATTTCGAAGGAAGAGTATTAGCATTGGCAGCCATTTCCTCATAAAGAAACGATACTAAAAAAAATTTCAATATTTATTTTAAAAAACTCATTTAAATATAAGATTATGTCAAGAATTGTTACCTGACAACCACAAATGCTTCTAATTCTCCACCTAAAACAAAAGACAACAATCCTTCAGAAGTAAACATTAAGGTTTGTATGAAATGCTGAGATATTTGCAAAACTCTGGACCACAGGTGTATGCAGTGGAGAACGAACACGCGCTGTTGTCCTTACCGGGGAGCAGCGCACTTCACC